TTCAAAGGGAGAAAGAATAGCATGACCTTTGTGTACTCATTGCCCACCTTCAACAGTTACCAGCATTCTGCTCTTCCGTTTCCTCTACCCACCCCACCCACCAACTTTTTGTCACCATTTACATTATAAAGATACTACATGTTTACAGTTTAAACAGAAAAGGGGAAAAGTAAAAGTTTCCAGGCCCCAAGCCCACTTTCCAGAGATAACCACTGTTGTTTGATGTGTATCCTTCCTGAAGGGTTTTATGGCTATTTGAGAATGTGAGTGTATGCATAATGTTCCCCACAGACAGAATTATACATCGGTACTATGGTTTTCTTAATGCATTTTGGGTGTTTTCTAAGCCAGCACACAAGAAACTACCTTATTTTTAAATGATTGAGTAGCGTTCCATTCTGGGAGGGTATCATAATATTACAGGGATTAATAGATAGGAGGTAAGGTAATTATCTCCATTCTGAGTTTTCTGTGATACTTATTTAAATTTCACATCACTGGGTTGTGATATGTATATCTTCATCTGAACTAGGTACTGTAAACTGACCTCTCAAGCAGCTGTACCAACTTAAGTCCCCTTCCACTTTGGCTGTCACGGGGAAACTCCATTCCCATAGCTATGCTGTCATTTCTATCAGACATTCTAATCTTTGCCATCTTGGTGCATCTGAAGTGGGATCAGAATTAGAATTAGCCTGCCACTGATCAAGCATCTTTTCCCAAGTTTACAGAGTCAGGTGTCCTTTCTGTAAATTGCCTGTTTGTTTCTCTGTAACCAAACACCTTTCTGAATTTTTTAGCTTTTGAATAGTTCTGTCACTTGCTTCCCTGGATATCTAGGCTTGTGATCGTCATACACAAGTAATGGTAAATTTGTCTTCTCCTGTCCACCATTTACGTCTCCTGTTTTATCCAGAGCCTACCCAGTTCTGGAGCTAATGCTTCCAGAACGCTGTTACGTTGTGGGGATGACTGAGCATCCCACCTTTCAGCTGTGATGGAATTGCGGCTGCAGCACTGTCAAGTGATGCTGACTTCTGATTGAGATACTTTCTTTTTAGCACGTTAAGGAAATGTTTTTTTTACTAAAGGCTTTTATCAGGATTGATTGTCATCAAATGCCCTCCTGTCACAAAGATAAACTCCTTTTTGCCCTGTGACCTATTACTGTGGTCTGCAGAGATGAATCTTTGATGTGGCAGCAGCAGAAATATTTCACACTTGGAACTGCTGTGGGAGAACAGCAGAGTTCCTCTTACACAAAAAAGCAGTTCCTTCCCTAAGAAAAATGCACTGATGGGACATTTGTAATGAAAGACCTTTACACTGAGCAGGCGAATTTGAGGAAAAGGGAACTAAAGTTACTCTTCATCACAGGTTAATAGGAATATTTTGCTTTCCTCAAGCTGCTTGATGCTGCAGAGGGAAGAGCTTCGGGGGAGGGGGGCTTTCGGATGTGCAAAGACAGTGGAGGAGGGATCAGGGCCCCTGTGAATCAGGCAGAGCCCTGCATGGGCCCAGAGGCAGCCTGAGCACATCGTGCTGATAGGAAGGGGCTCCCCGCCCCTACAGGTAGCAGCTTGTCAGGAGGCTGTCCTGTTTCTGCGGACTGGAGTCCCAGAAGCAAGATCCTGTGCCTGGAGCCCCCTTGTACCTTTCCACTGTTTCAGTCTGTGCGTCCTTGCGTCCTACTGAAGTTTCATATCTTCTAATTTGTTTAGTGTCTATTTTCAGCTCCCATTTTTAACCGACAAGGAATGTCTTGCTTCCTTCTAATACTTTCATGGTTTTTGTTTAAATTTTTAAGCTATTGACAGTTTATGTATACCCTTAATTTGAAGTAATGATCTAACATCCTCTTCATTCAAATGTCTAAATAGTTGTATCAAAACCTCTGTCTACTGACTTAAACTACCATATATAATACCCTGACAAAGGATTAAGGTCTATGTAGGGTAAACTAACTCATTCTCCACTTTAGTAGTGGGGTGACTCCTGCACATTTGATGTCCGTAGAACAGAGTTGGCAGTAGTCGGGGGCTAACTAACTGCGCTGCATCCGCACTCCAGCGCGCTGCCTTCTGCTGTTACTGACTGGGAGGCGGGCCTCTGTCTTGGTTCACAGGTAGCTCTGGGCCTGAAAATCACGACTGCCATTGGCACTCAAGCTGGGTAATTACCAGTGGTCAGAGGAGGTGTCAAAGTAGTTTTTGCCCCGAGGCTGGACATTTCTTGGTGTGACTGCATCAGAATCATTAGCTATGACTACTCACATCTTGTTCCTCCATGACTCTGCTTGGGGCTGGGCAGCAAAGTGCTTCTGACATTCTGCCCTCATGCATCCTCGTGGTCGTGCCCCCATCCAGCTGCTCTGTGACTCTGCCCTACCCCTATTCGGGGTGCCTAGCAGAGCACAGCACAGGCTCCCCACTCTAGTGGCTCAGGCGGCCCTCACCTTGGTCGGGCCTGCGAGCGGACTGTCTTCTGGATCCTCAGGGCCCCTGTGAATCAGGCAGAGCCCTGCATGGGCCCAGAGGCAGCCTGAGCACATCGTGCTGATAGGAAGGGGCTCCCCGCCCCTACAGGTAGCAGCTTGTCAGGAGGCTGTCCTGTTTCTGCGGACTGGAGTCCCAGAAGCAAGATCCTGTGCCTGGAGCCCCCTTGTACCTTTCCACTGTTTCAGTCTGTGCGTCCTTGCGTCCTACTGAAGTTTCATATCTTCTAATTTGTTTAGTGTCTATTTTCAGCTCCCATTTTTAACCGACAAGGAATGTCTTGCTTCCTTCTAATACTTTCATGGTTTTTGTTTAAATTTTTAAGCTATTGACAGTTTATGTATACCCTTAATTTGAAGTAATGATCTAACATCCTCTTCATTCAAATGTCTAAATAGTTGTATCAAAACCTCTGTCTACTGACTTAAACTACCATATATAATACCCTGACAAAGGATTAAGGTCTATGTAGGGTAAACTAACTCATTCTCCACTTTAGTAGTGGGGTGACTCCTGCACATTTGATGTCCGTAGAACAGAGTTGGCAGTAGTCGGGGGCTAACTAACTGCGCTGCATCCGCACTCCAGCGCGCTGCCTTCTGCTGTTACTGACTGGGAGGCGGGCCTCTGTCTTGGTTCACAGGTAGCTCTGGGCCTGAAAATCACGACTGCCATTGGCACTCAAGCTGGGTAATTACCAGTGGTCAGAGGAGGTGTCAAAGTAGTTTTTGCCCCGAGGCTGGACATTTCTTGGTGTGACTGCATCAGAATCATTAGCTATGACTACTCACATCTTGTTCCTCCATGACTCTGCTTGGGGCTGGGCAGCAAAGTGCTTCTGACATTCTGCCCTCATGCATCCTCGTGGTCGTGCCCCCATCCAGCTGCTCTGTGACTCTGCCCTACCCCTATTCGGGGTGCCTAGCAGAGCACAGCACAGGCTCCCCACTCTAGTGGCTCAGGCGGCCCTCACCTTGGTCGGGCCTGCGAGCGGACTGTCTTCTGGATCCACACCTGCCTCTCCAGTACAATGGTCTGAGATGGCTGGACTTACCTGGCAGGGTGGGTTCACCGAGGAATAAATGGGAAGTGAGCTGTGCCCGATGCCTTCATGGCCCTGCAGGACAGGGCCCCTTGCTCAGCTCCATGGTCATTTCCCACCTTCCCTTCCCGTGTTCATGCCCTGCCCGCCGCACTGGCCTCCCCAGTGCTTCTCTCACATTCCCATCACATTCCTGACTCTCAGGCCTTTACTCTGGTATTCGTACAGTCTGGAAAGCTCTTCTCCTAACTATTCAGAGCTCAGTTTACTCAAATGTCCTCTCTTCAGAGGGGTCTTTCTGTTTATTTTATGTTAAATAGCAACCTTTGTTATTCTGCACTCTCATGGCCATAATACTTTTACCTTATTTTATTCATCTCTATATCCCACTAAAAAGAGTTCCGAAGGAGTGGTGACTTCACTGGCACCATATTTTTCTATAATTTGTTACAAAGGGCAGCCATCAAAGGCTTAACCAGCAGAGAGCCACAGTATTTATGGGCACAAAAAGTGCTGTTTGTTCTAGATTTAAATGAGAAGCCTGATGAACAATCAAGGAGGAAGCATCAGCTGCCCCCCCTGCCCCCCTGCTCTGTGCCCACCTGCTGCTGCCCCAGGGGGGGAATCATGGGGCAAGTTTCACCTCAGAAACTGCTGTTGTTCTGGAAGGGAACAGAGGAGGACTCCTCAGACCCTGAGCCCCCAACGTGGCCTGGTGGGCTGCTCACCACCACCTTTGTGTTCCAGGGCTCTGCGGCTCAAGGCCCAGGGCAGAGAGCTTTCACTGTGTACCTCCTTCAGGTAACTGTCACAGCTCAGTGAAGTACGTAGTATCACGCATACTCTGTAGATAGGAAACAGGACATGTGACCTTCCCAGGGTTACTGTGCCAAATAGTGGAACTCAGGAGTCCCTGTCTCCCTGCTGGCCGCGTGTGTGTGCTGTGCTGTGCATGAGAGCCTGTCTGGCCTCACTTGGCCCCATCCTGAGTGGCTTGGGCCATCCTGGCATGCATTCAGGGGTTTGTGCTGTCCCACTGAAAAGTGGCTGCTCATACATTTGGCTCTTTGGGGGTGTTTTTTACATCTTCAAATGGTTAAGGAAGTGGCTCTCCCATGAAACAGTTGAGACTAATCAATAATGCTCTCCCTGTATTCATAAGTGAGTCACTTATTTGAGAGCCTCATCCTTGAACTGGGTGATCTTAGGGTCCTCTCTTGCTTTTCTGGGACCTTCCTGTATTCTTGATTTGACATTTCAAAGCCTCTGTATTAATGGGTAACCGTTTCCCAGGACCCACCCCATAGGAGCTGTACAGCGCCTGGCATCAGGGTGTGCCAGGGCTGGGTGTGGCTCCCGCTGATGCACGGCTGTGACCTCACGTGGCACCTTCAGGGTGCCGCTGCTGGGCACTGGGACAGCCGAGTCCCGCTGTGTTTCTAACTGCTGTGTCTGACTCCTAGGTTCTCCAGCTAACTACAAGCAAGAGAAGCGAGGCTTCTGGAGTTCTCGGAGGCCTTTGGAAAGACTGCCCCAATGTAGACTCTGCGGCGGGGCCCTGCTCCGAAGCCAGGCCGAAATTCTGCGGCCCTGGGCCATTGCCTCATCTCTGACCTGCTAAAATGTGTTTTCACAGGTGCTGTTTGCTGTTTCACATTTTCATAGAGTAGGGAAGCTGTAGCTACTGACAAGTAGGAAAATGCTTTTTTTTTTTTAAGGCAGTTGCTGTTTTTTTAAAAAATGGAATTAGTCCTTGGTTTTTCTCCCAGTTGGAGCCCCTTTCCGACTGCTCGAGTCCCTGGGTGAGCACAAATAGAGGTTGCTTTGTGTGTTGTATAGGGCTCTCTGCTTTGGAAAGAGAGAATTATGTTACAAATGTTGTTGAAAATAAATAAAACATTTCCTTGTCCTTGCAAGATCCAGTATAAATTGTGTGAATTCAACCAAACTTGTAAAGTCAGTAGGTGGGGTAGAGGAACAGCCATTTGCTAAGACCAGTCGGATCAGTAAGAATGGGAATGGGGTTTGTTTTCTAGAGCCAGAGCAATTGTTTTCAATTTACTTAATAATCACGTGCTCATGCATTTGGGTTGGGGTTTCCTTGACGCTCCCGTCTGTGCAGAGCCATTGTGGGGTCAGGGAATTGGAGACCTTGGGGGCACCCGGCAGGCAGGTGGGGGCCCCTAACCTGTGCTCTCGCCCCCACCCAGAGCGGAGGTGGGAGACGCCCTCTTCGCGGTCCCACCCCCATCCCACAGTCATGTGTCCTCACAGCGCCCGCCCGGGCTGCCCTTGGATCCTTAAGCCACCCCACATCCTCCCTCTCCACCTTCCCTGGCCCTTGTCTTCCTGGCCAGCCATCTTCAAGGGTGTTGTCTGCACTGGTTTCCTCCACCGCCCAGCTCACTGCCTTCCCGCCCTCTCACCTCTGACCTGCTCAGTAGTCTGGCAAACTGGGCATTTCCCTAGTTATCAGACTTTTATCAGACTTTGAAACCTCCTCCTTCCTGAGACTCAATCCTCCCTGAATTTCCAAGCTTTCACACTCTGGATCTCTCCCGACCCCTCTAGCTGCCCTTTGGTCTCACATTCTCATTGCTACCCCCACCTCCCACCCCCCACTGCCCTTCAAAAACACTTTCGAGGATTTCAAATGTAATTCAGACAATCAGTGGCCAAGCTGTTAATCTAGCCAGGCTATGGGCCTAGCTGGAGGGCTGGGCACCTGGCCTGAGCCCCCAGCCTCCAGCACTGTGCTTTCTGACAGAATCTGCTTGGTTCCTGTGAAGTCCCTAGGGAACAGCTGGGTCCTGCCACTTTGCCTGGGGAAGGAGGGCAGGGTGGTGCTGCTGGGGACCAGCAGGCCAAGAAGCTTCCCCTGGAGACTCCTGTCCCCTTCCTGGGTGTATCCTTCGACACAGGGTGTTGGAGTGGTGGCCTCAGAAGAGTGGTTTCTCTAGAGACTGAAAACTTTACTGACAGTTCCCAGATCTGTACCTCCAGACCTATGACCATGGCCTGGGTTCACCTGGGGTCAGATGCCCCTTGAGCGCTCCAGATTCAGGAGTGCCCAGAGCAAAGCCATTGCTTGCCCAACACCCGTACTCTGCCCAGCCTTCTCTGCCAAGCTCCGTTTCCGCAGCTAGCAGGACCACCTGCCCACTGCTCTCTCTTTGCTCTTTGGCCTGAGTGAAGGTGTCTTCACTCTTTACCCTTCACCCACCTGCTCTGCCTCAGTTCTTGCTGTGTGACTCCTGTCCCCAGCCTTGCCTCCACCCAAAGACACGTGTGCACAGATGTACAGTGCACGTGTACACACATGCATGGGTGCCCAGGACCCTCAGGTGGTGGGAGCTGCCCCATTGCTGCCCCCTTTCCGTTCAGCCTCCTGTCCAGGCTTTTTCTTGGAGGAGAGTTGCTGAGGGAACGTTAGCAGGAGGGTGGTGTGAGAGGTGTGCAGGGAGCTTGCCCTGAGGTGAAGCCTGGGAAGGCCTAGGAAAAGTTGTAGAACACACACTTCAACCCAGCAGCCATGCTGGTAGGACTCTGTCCTTCAAAACCATCAACCTTTTGGACTAAAGGGGTGTTGGTTTCACTACTGTTGATGACATGGCAAAACTGGAAGCAACTGTAAGCCCTTCAGAGGGGAGTGGTCAGAGAATCCCAGGACAGCTATGCTGGTGACACTGGCTTTGAGGACCAAGATAGAATTGGAGAACCACACGTGGAGTCTGAATACATTCATGTGTGTAGGGAGGGGTCTGGAAGAGCATGCTTCCAACCAGTGGCCACATCTATCAGCTTGCAAACGGAGGGCCCCATGTTTTGTTCTGCAGACCCCTCTGTGGTCTGTGTACCCGTGCATTCCCAGCGCAACTAGAAATGGGAGGTAGCTGGCTGCAGTGCGCACGTAGAGGATGGACTGCGGGACGGGCTGGGGCTGGGGCTGCAGGAATGTGGTGGGCATCCTTCAGCATTGGCTGCCACTCCTGAGGAGCATTTTGAGGGAAGACCACCTAACCCTCCGCGCACGTGTGTCTGAGTGCAGACAGTGGTGGTGTCTTGTGTCGGGTATGTGTGACCCCTGAAGAACAAGGAAACCAGCTTGTACATCGATGATCTCAAAAAAACTTCTGAAAAGGCTCCCCACTGGGGTGGGAAGCACATACTAAACAAGGTAGCATTCAGGTGGCACCCGCCTTGTCTAGCCACGTCATCCAGTTCTCTAAGCCACTAAGTAGACCTGAGGTGGGTTTGGAGGTTTCCAAACCAAGTCCCCCTGTTCAACCTCAGGTGCAGAGAATAGAGTTAATTATGCTCATTAGTCATGGCACAACATCACCTCCAATCTGTAAGGCCCTCCATTTTGTCATTTAGCAATTTAATTCTCTTTTTTCCCCATGTCTTCCCCCACAGGCAGCTGTGTTAATGTGCTGATGTGTATCTTTGAATGTGTTCTTGCAAAGCACGTATGTAATGAGGTGCTATGCAGCTAGCCTGCCCCACACCGTCACGGGCAGTGTGGCATCAGGGTGATGACGGCGTCCTTCTTGGGCCAGCTGGAGCTGTCCCAGAATCTCTTCAGTTCATTCTGGGACTTCCCTGTTCTCACCACACGGCTGGGATGCTCAGCCCCTCCTCTGGAGCCTTGCTCTCCTTACCCCAGCCCTCCCCACTTCCCCCTCCTCCCTGCCCCCTCCCCAAGAATCTGCCAGCACCCTCAGCACTTACTATGTCATGTGAGAGCAGGTGGGTGAGGCCCCGGGGAGGAAGGACTTGTGCCCCTCCAGGCAGTTTGAGCTAAGCTAGAACCCAGTTCTAATTTGGAACATGGCCCTTTCCACTAGGCCATCATGTCGCCTCTCTTCACCCGGGGCCAATTGCTCTCTTCTGAAAGGATTTGAATTCTCCCTCGTGAGGAAGGCCAGAAGGCCCCAGCTGACTTGTGGAACAAACAGGCTGCAGGCAATAGGTGGCGACATAACCCACTTCATGCTTCCCGAGCGAGCCGGGTGCCCTGTGGAAACAATGGCCCACCTCGGCCATGCCAAGTGACATGGGCTGGTGGGCCAGGGCGGCTGCCTTTTAGGGGAGGCGGTGGGTGACCTGCCAGAATGGCACTTAGCCTTTCTCTCTACCCAACTGCTCAACACAGTCACTCAGTCAAGACTGAGCCCAGCCCTGGCCTTCAAAGAGGAAAACGCTGCAAATATAGTCAGTCCAAAGCCCCAAAGCCAGGAAGGGCTGGAAAGGCTCTGCAGTGGGGGGACTTGGGCAGCTTTGTGACAGCACCTGAAGGACCTGCTGCAGGAGCAGAGGAAATAGTTAAGTCTTTTCACATGGCGGGTACATGGGCAGACCAGATACCAGAGGGCTGGGTGTGTCAGGGTAAGAAATCCAGACCCTCCTGTTCACACTGGGGCCCCTCCCCACCGAGGGCTCTTCCCCAGGGAGCCCCAGTCCTGGAGGTTCCTCATTCTCTCCCGGGTGCAGGAGCAGGGCTGGCTGCAGGCAAAGCCATGCTCTTTCCTTGGCTCCTTACCTCTCCTGACCTGATTAAGAAGCTTACCTGGACCTCTCAAATCACTTTGGTCAACTCAGTCACAACAGTGAGCAGTCGGACTTAACCCAAGGCATTGGTTAAGCATGCTGGTTGGTGTGTGTACATGCACTAGTATTTTACCTAGCAACATTCTAGAAAAAGAAATGTTAACAGATGCATAACAACACAATATAATATAAATGTAATAAACCAACAAATGTTTTTCTTATAAGTGCATGTTCTTAATTCATATCCTTCAAACTAAAGGTGCGCCCGAAGATGGGGAAGGACTTGAATCAAACTGCCTTCTTCCCCCATCTGCCCCTTTTCACCAGCTCCCTCCTGCTGAGCCTGCCCTCAGAGCTCAGATCAAGGTAGAAACACCCTTCTAGGGAGAAGAAATGTTCAGACTCAGAAAATTCACCATCCAAAAAGGGAAAGTGGGGAGGTGAATGGCTTTTGTGGTGGCTGCCCTTGGAGAAATCCCAGAAAATAAGAACAGTGCCAGGAGACAGACTGTAGACAGATGGTCACTTTGGAAAAGATGGATTCTGGAAAAGGGGCTACATGTCCCCAGAATGAACTCCAAACTTATTCCTGCCAAGTGACTCAGCACCTCTGCAGTGATCCCATGGGGGCCTGTGTCAGCAGGGGATGGCTCACTCAGTGATACATGTTCTCTGGATGCTAGCAGAATCTGAAACCAAATGCCTGATGCAAAAACTCAGGTTGGTCTCTAAGAATTTTAAAGGCAGATTGTGAGATGCACAGCAAGTTTGCTGATGTCATTAGACGTTCTTGCATAACATACTTGCCAAACCCTTTTTTGGATGTTTGGTTTGTACTGGAAGGACTCCTACGTAGTTCATGAGACCCCCGCACTTAGAGAGTGTACCCCAACATGCTGGGCATCAGGAAAATGATTTTCAGGGACCTGCTGTTCTGCCTCATCATGCTCAGCCTCCTCCTATCAGTCACCAAGACTGAGGGTTCCTTGTATGGTCCCTAATTCTCCATGCCTGGATCAGATGCTAACAGCTTCTCACCTTGGTCACTGTGATACCCTCCTAGCCTGCATCCCCAGCTCCAGTCTGAGCTCCGCCATCCCTCATCCACTTCCAACCCCGGCTTCAGTAGCTCCCAGTAGCCTTTGAGATAAAGTTCAAACTCCCTAATTTAGCACAGGAGGCCTGGCCACCCTCCAGCCACTCTGCCGCACTCCCTGCCTTCCAGCCACACTGAGGTGCTTGCGGTTCCTACATGTTCACTTC